AGATAGATAGATAGATAGATAGATAGATAGATAGATAGATAGATAGATAGATAGATAGATAGATAGATAGATAGATAGATAGATAGATAGATAAATAGATAGATAGATAAAAAGATATCATCACCGTGGGGAGGGGGGGCGATGATAACTTCCTCAATGGCTCAAGGGGGCGTTTCTTTCAAAAAGGTTAAGAACCACTGCCTTAGAACAAGACCCCCACGTTGGCTGATGTTGAAAAGGCTCTAATACTCCAAAAACAGCAGTCATCCACTGACATTATCAGCCTTCTATCCTTCCGAGGTGGGTAAAATGAGTACCCAGCTTGCTGGGGGGGGGGCAATGTGTAGCCTGCATAATTAATTTGTAAACCGCCCAGAGAGTGCTCAAAGCGCTATGGGGCGGTATATAAGCAGCACGCTTTGCTTTGCTTTTTATTCATATTTACTATGCTTTATGGAACATGCCCACAAGTTATTACCAGAGGTCTCAATCCGGGGTAAGGCAGGGTCCCAGCAAGGGTTAGCCAGCACTGCTAATGTAGTCTTCAACCACACTGTGCCTCACAATGTCCAGCCAATAAGCCAAGATGGATGGACTCCCTGGCCCACCACATCAACCCCACTGGCAAGTGAGTCTCTGGGATGGCATTCTCTGGTGGCCATGCATCCCCCAGTGGCTATATTATGCAAAACAACAATGACCATCACAATAAAACTGTCAACATGTTGTAATAAAAGAGGCGTGTAGCTTTTATGAGATGATTTTCAACTACCATATGTTACAATGCCTCTGTTTAAGGCATTGATTTTATTAATGTACTGGCTCTGGATGTTGCATTCCACTTGGCCCCTTTATAAAAAATAAACTTCAGTTATATTAGATATACATCAACTACAACATTTGTATACTGAGATGAATAACCACTTAGAGGCAGAGGAAGTGGACAATACCATTTGCAAACCCCTAAATCATATGTTTATGGCATGGGAGCATCCCAATGTTTCTCAAGAGAAAAAGATAAAGGATAATTTTATCACACTAGAAGCACAGAGACTTTTTGAATTTGAAATAAAGCTCTAGCGACACCTTATGGCATTCAGGTTTAAGCACATAAATGGATCATCAAATTCTATCTATGGGGTTTCTTTTAAAACAAATAATATATCTTTCTACCGATGCAGGTTATTCTTTATTTTAAAAGAAAATCCATAGAATTTGTTTGAGAAATCATACCAGTTATCTAGAGATACACAGATATAAACTGGATAATATGTGAAGAGTTAACTCTGGAAGACATACAAGAATATCAGAAAGAAACAAGGGGGGAAATGTCATCCCAGAAAACATGTATTACCTTGTAGTAGACACAGCACATAGTTTGATGGACTGCTGATCCTTTTAAAAATAGAGTTTGAGTATCTGTATGAACTTCATATACACAAACACATAGGTATCTGTACTGTATGTATCAATACATATATTTATGTAACCATTATAATTTAGATACAGTACTTTTGTAATATTTGGCAAGAAGGCAAAATTACACTTATTCATTCGAAATTGTACCGTAACAGCCTAAGAATAATAGAGGTTCATCTAATAGTAATGTTTCACCAAGACACCCATCTACCATCCCTCCATTCAATAAATCAGGGTGGGGACCTGGTAGAACGGATCCACTGGTAGATTTCAGCATAATTGGAAATAAAACGACAAAGCTTTTAGGGTCCCTGTTGTTTAACAATAGCAACAAAGTGATTGCATTCTCCACGTGAAAATTAAAGTGCAAAAATAAAGAAAGGTTTGGGATAATGAGTGAATTCATGAGAGTTCCATTTATTCTGGTACTTATAACCAACACCTGATCTCATGATTTAATTCTAAGTCTTAAAAAACTAATTCCAAACATCTGCCTTTTGCACTGCCATGGGTCCATGAATTTTTGTCAGTTCTGTGGTTCTTCAAACTCCATAACTAAGGGAAAGAATGTGTTTCTTTACTCTTCAGCTGTCAAAACATTACAGGGGACAATAAATTCCAGTTTAATCCTGGCATGAGGCCACATTCTGTGAAAGACTTAACAGGATTTTCAACACACTATCACATATTGATAAATTACATACACAAACATTTGGGCAATTAACTTCTAAAGTTTTGACTCTTGGTGCAACTTCCAAAATCAGATTCCTAAGATCCATCCTCCCCCTGCCCCCACAGTGTACATCATCAGCATCGTGATGGTTTCTTCTCAACCTGTAGGAAGCATCAGTGCTCCAAGATTTTATAACTCTCACATTGGTAGCTTGTATTTGCACCACATTATTTCTCATTTTATTCATACTAAGGCATTCAACAAAGTCACTTTGCTTTACTACTACTTCTTTGCCCTTATATTCTGGGTGTAATACCACTGCATTTACAATGTAACAATATAAGTCTACCGTTAAGAGTATTTGTTCTGTTTAATCCTCCATTACGAATTTCTATAATTCTGAAATTCTAAGTCTGCGCTGGTCAAATACTCCACAGTAATGCTGAGACTTTAAATTAGACTAAATTGGTGTGATCCTGTCACTCAGTAATGCATTTTTAAATACATAATGACCCTCTTTTCCTGTCTGAGAGAAGGAAATACCAGGCCAACGGTAGATGTCCATTAGAACTGATATAATTGGATTTTAATTAAAAAAACAAGAGGTGAAGCCAGACTAAGCAAAAAAGCTTCTGGTGGTAATAATGACCAAAAAATATGTCTTTAAAGACAGAGGGGACTCTTATCAGAAATATAAATACAGCATGCTTTTACATAATCTGATTTTCATCCTACCCATAGTGAATATAATTTAATCTGTCGTAGCAATCTGTTTTCTAGTTGCACAGTGGATGATTCTATATTAGACAGCAACAAAGCTGTAATTAGGAAATGATCATAAATTCAAACATCAGACACATTTATTCAGATCAGTTAGCCACGCTGTACTAAAAGCTATCAGCACAAATAGCAGCAAAAATGGGGAGGGGGGGAATCAGGGATACATACAGGTATGTATAGTGGGAAAAGATATATAGCTTCTTCTCTCAGAATTTTTATATGTCCAAAGTGACTCAAGTGGGCCAATTTAACAGGTAGTAACTGTGAAACAACTGGACTCACTGATTTTTAAGTCTTTTGTGAAAAAGAGAAAAAACTATAGGTATAGGATATGTGCTGAGGTATGTGCGACATTTTATCTACTAGCTTTGCATGAAACATGTGTAACAAAATGGGAGGGGGAATGTTCCTTCCCACCCCTCAATGAGAATGGTACAGAGAAATGCAGAATATGGCAATTAATGATAAATTGACTTCTGTTGTGAAGATCAGAAGAGGAACATTTTTTAAAAATGGCTTCAGAGAAATATGGAATGCATTTCTTGAACATGTTTTGACTAAAGGGAAGGGGTGCACACCAAAAGAAGAATTTATGTAGTTCTGGAGAGATCTGGAGAAGCATTAACAGTAAAGTCAAAGTACAGGAACCTAGTTCCAAAGGGGAGGGTGGCGCTGACTGGAGAAAATATGCAAAGAGTGATATTGTACAAAAATAGTGAATTTAAGAGGGTGTAACATAATTTATGTCTGATAGCTTGCTTTCTTTTTTGTTTGTTATATTAATACAAATTATTTCAAAAAGAAAGAAATTATCCTTACTTTATATTTTGGAACTGTTTCAATAAATCACGTAACCTCAAAGTACAGTATATACTCTTAAGTACAAGTTTTAATTTCACACGTCAGAACTTGGAAATTGCAAAACAGAAGCATTCCCCATCTTAAAAAAAATAAAAATAAAAACATGTTTCACTTGGTCCAAGGACTTGAAATGCAGTACCCTCTCCTCAAAGTCTAAGAAGATTTTAAAAGCGGGAAGACGTTTGGCTCCCATTCTATGTTTCGCCTCCCAAAACGAGACTGAAGCATTCATTTCTCAAACCACCATCACGAAGAGCTGGCTAAGCTCTCTTTTATATATAAATGACACAAACCCTTGTAAACTGCTGGAGAGCTCAGTGGCTTAGAACCACTGGTTCTTAACCTTGGGTTACCTTGGTCCAAGGACTTGAAATGCAGTACCCTCTCCACAAAGTCTAAGAAGATTTTAAAAGCGGGAAGACATTTGGCTCCCATTCTACGTTTCGCCTCTCCAAACGAGACTGAAGCATTCATTTCTCAAACCACCATCACCAAGAGCTGGCTAAGCTCTCTTTTATATATAAATGACACAAACCCTTGTAAACTGCTGGAGAGCCCAGCGGCTTAGACATCTGGCTGTGGAGCCAGAGGTTGGGAGTTCGATTCCCCCCAGGGTGCCTCCTGCAAATAAGCGCCACCCTGTGTAGCCTTCAGCAAGTTGCAGCTGCACCGTTCCAGAAGTTGCCCTCTCAGAAGAAGGGAAGGGTAAACCATTTCTGAGTAACTGCTGAATACCTCAGGGGTTTGCGGTCTGGTTGGGGTGCCTCCTGCAAATAAGAGCCACCCTGTGTAGCCTTCAGCATGCTGCAGCTGCACCGTTCCAGAAGTTGCCCTCCCAGAAGAAGGGAAGGGTAAACCATTTCTGAGTAACTGCTGAATACCTCAGGGGTTTGCGGTCTGGTTGGGAGTTCGATTCCCCCACTGTGTGCCTCGTTGACAGGGGCTCGACTTGATGATCCCTTCCCGCTCTGCAGATATAATTATTAAAAGAAAAAATCCCTAGGGTAATGAGGCCCATTCAGCGTGTGTATGCCTGTTTAACAGGGGCTCGACTTAATAGTCCCTTCCTGCTCTGCAGATCTAATTATTAAAAGAAAAAATTCCCTAGGGTAATGAGGCCCATTCAGCGTGTAACCTCTCACTCCCCAAATGAAATACAAAGGAGGAAACCCCGTGCCCCCCAAGTAGCCGCACCAGTCTGCCTCAGCTTATTGCAAAATCAAAAGGAGGAAAAGGGGCAAAAGGCTGCAGCGGTCACAACTCTTACCGTGCTTTGTTTTGTTTTTGCTTCTCGTCCCCCTTTATTTTTGCCTGAAACGCAGCACAAGCTTCTGCTGCTTCCCCTTAAAAGGATATCAGGCAAAACCCAAGGAAACAAAGCAAGACAAAAAACTTGGGGCACCTTAAAGACTATTATATTTCAATATGACCTTTCGTGGACAGGTCCACTTCCTCAGACGTATGGAAACGGAATAAAATGTTGGATGAAATATCTGTTTCATACTAAATAAATATTCATTGGCTCTTGGGTGTATGTTATATTTACATGCAGTAATTTATGGCTTAAAAGGAGGGTGCAAAGCATATGCTGTGCTTTCACGTCATGTCTGCCAGGGGGTTGTCTAAAAGCATATGCTGTGCTTTCACATCATCTCCCCAAAAACTGATCACGAGGCGTAGACCTTTATGGAACGACGGAACAATACAACTAGCATGTTGGTTCGTTTCTGGCGGAAAGTATCAGTATTTGCATTAAGGGAGAAGAAAGTAAATGGAAGTATAAATGGACAAGGCATGCCCACTGAGTAAGAGTCTACCGTTTTATCTCTATGTCCTGCTCTTGCTCAAATTGAGCGCAGCCTCATAGATGTGTTAAAAAAATGAGAGTCGCGAACATCCCTCCCTCCTTTCTCATTAGGAGTTCCAACAGAGGAGGCAACGAGAGGGGCGTGGCGAGGAGGCGCTCTAGCCTCTCTTTCTGTCTCTATAGCCCTGGTTCCTGCCTTGATCCTCTCTTGACGAAGAGAGCGGAAGTGGGTCCGTATCGAAGGCTAAACTGAGGCTATAGAGTCCCGGGAAACGCTTGCCTAGACCGGTCGCAGCGCTTCGTGCGGGGCCGGGAGGAAGGAAGATGGTGGCGCCGGAGCAGCTCCGCGTGGTGCGTTGCGGCGGCAGCGGGTTGAATGGGAGTCGCGCCGTCTTCTCAGCCGATTCCAAGTGAGTGGCCGGGGCGGCGGTGGTGGCCGGGGCAAGGGGTGGCTGGGCCTGCCTGCTTCTTTATCCTGACGGTCCCCGGAGCTTAGGTACACGCGAACGCGCACGCGCACGTGTGAAAACGCGACACGAGGGTTTGCGGGGCATCGGGGGATCGCGTGGCGCTGCATCCTCGGAGCTTCTTCGACTGCGATTCCGGGCGTGCTGTGGCGAGAGAGAGCATGGCTCGCTTCCCTCGGATGTTCCTCTGGGTGGATTTATTGGTGAAAGGCTTCCAAAACCTGGAGCACCTGTTTTGATCGGGGACGACGCAGAAGAAGGTGGATCGGGTTCCGATTGAGTGAATCCTGCCATCGTCCTGACCTCGACTGGTGGCTACCCCAGGAGGGAGCCCTCTCCAAAACGCCCAGCCCTCCCCAGCCCTGATCAGCTAGCTCTCTTGCAAACTCCAGCCTTTGGTTTCCTTGAGGGAGTCCGTCCATCTCGTATTTGGCCCTCCTCTTTTCCTGCTGCCTTCCACTTTTCCCAGCATGACGGTCTTTTCCAGAGAATCTTGCCTTCTCATACAAGTGTATGGGGCAACAATTCCTGGTCGATAGTTATTGCTGATAGCCAAGTTACAGTATACAGTAATGGAAAATTTAATCCAAAATTTAGTCCAACTAGAATCATAGACTTACGGGGTTGGAAGGGGCCTCTGAGGCCATCGATGCAGGAATACAAATCAAAGGATTTCTGCCAGGGGGTTGTCTAAATGTCTCTTGAGTGCCCCCAGTGTTGGAGCACTAACAGTTAAGAAGTTTTTCCTTATACAGTGGGGTCTTGACTTGACAAGTAGGCATCCTTCAGTCTCGAAATCAAAGGATGTCTGCCAGGCGATTGTCTAAAAATGCCTCTTGAGTGCCCCCAGTGTTGGAGCACTAACAGTTAAGAAGTTTTTCCTTATACAGTGGGGTCTTGACTTGAGAACTTAATCTGTATTGGACGGCGGTTCTCAAGTCAAAAAGTCTGTAAGTCAAGTCTCCATTTACCTACAGTGCATTAAAAACGGATTAATCTGTATAGTATTCTGTCTCCCCTCAGTCTTCTTTTCTTAAGACTAAACATGCCCAGTTCTTCCAGCTTTTACTCGTAAGACTTGGTTTCCAGCTCTCAGAGTATCCTAACTAATATAAATTATTCTCCATTAACTCAGATGTAATAAAATTCAGTCCCATAGTAGCGTTCAGTTCAGTCCACTGGAAAATACCAGGCTGAGGAAGACAGTTTTAACCGGATTTTCAGAGACTTACTTCTGGACTAACCTGTGTTGATTTTGCTTTGGCTGTAGAATCGTACCCTGACTATTCAGAAGGAAGAGCCACTGAGTTCTGTGGGTATATTTCCAAGTAACTGGTTAAAGCGTTGCAGCCTCAGATGCGTTTTTGCATCTATTCTCTTGATCTGTAACCACTGAAAGGCTATTCAGAGAGTTGAAAACGCTGTATTAAAGGAAGTTTCTGATATCAGAAATGTGGACAGTGGTCAGGTGCAAAAGAGGCAGGACTGCATTTGAGAGCCAGTGTGGTGTTGTGCATAGAGGGTCAGTCGAGGACTCGGGAGACCTCAGTTCAAATCCCTGCTTAGCCATGGAAGGTGGTGAAGGAGGGGAGCGGTGGAAATGATAGGCCACCTTCCTGAACATCTTCTGTACCTTGCCAGTGTGAGCAAATTTGATCACGTCTCTCCAATTCTGGCAAACCTGCACTGGTTACCTGTTGTGTCCCAGTTCAAGCTCAGGGTTTTGATGTTTACACATTTTGGGATCATGATAATTGGCAGCGCGCCTTTTCCCAAGGTCATCTACCTGCTCCACCAGATCCTCCCAAGCAATGTTCCCCTGGGTGCCCACCCTGAAGGAGGCCATGAAATCACCTATGAAATGCCAGGCCTCCTTTGCTGTGGTACCAACACTCTGGAATCAGCTCCCAGTAGAAGCTCGGCTCCCTCCCTTCTGACATCCAAAAGGCTTCTGAAGATGTTGCTTTACAGAGAAGCCTTCCAATACAACCCTGCCTGATTTTTATCCTTTGCTGCCCCCTGTTTTGAATTATGCTTCTGTTTGCATCTCCTTTTATCTGGTGATGGGTTTTATGTAATTTCCTTGTTGCTGTGTTTTATTACTTGCTGTAAACTGTCCAGAATAGCGCTTTGCACTAATGGGGTAGTATACAAATCTAAGAAATAATTAAATAAATACTATGTCACTGCCAGTCTAAAAATTGTGTTTTTACTCCCTTCTTAAAATCAGACAGGGTGGATGGAAACAGATCGCAACTCAGAAGGAACTGCATCCCATAGCTTAGAAGCCACAAAGGAGAAAGCCCTCTCTGACATTCTTGTTAGTCCGGCATCATTGGTATTTTTAAGAGGGCCTCTCCTGAAGATATTAAAGTCCAGGACATTTCATCCTTCAGATGTCTGTCTCTCTGAAGCAGCTTGGATTTACTATGATATTTAAACATTCTTATATGGGGGAAACTGGTTTTCTTGCATCATTTAAGTTTTTTAAATTCTATTTTAATGTTGGAGAGTCACAGGCCAATATTTGTTTGATAAATTCGTATCACAGTGCATGTTCTTTACCTTTATAGAGTACTCTAAGGATGTTTTCACTGATATGATGGTGTTTTGTTTTGTTAATTAATAGGTACCTCTTGTGCACTTCAGGTGATTATGTGAAAGTCTACAGTACAGCTACAGAAGAATGTCTGCATGTCCTGCAGGGTCATAGCAACCTGGTGACAGGAATCCAGTTGAATCCCCAAAACCATTTGCAGGTTGTTATGAGTCTTGATGTTGTCGTGTTTTGGCACTTAATCAAGCTTTAATCTCAACCTCCTTTAATAGTGTGCCTCATAACCAGTAATTTGGATTTAATAGTATCTGATTGGTTTAGCCCCAAAAACCTTTGTTTCTGCAGGTGCCACATTTTTTCCTTGTCTCTTCTGAGTTTCTAGAATCATGAAATTGCAGAATTTAATCTTCAAACAACCATCTGAGAAACCTAGAAAATCATAAAATCCCCAATTATTTGAATTTTCTTAATTTAGTCAATGATATGTTTATCTTATATCTGCTCACCTAGTTTCTGTAGCTGTCTCAATTATGTTACGGTTTTGTTTTTGTTTCTTTGGGGGGGACCCCAGAACATTACACTTGTCTCTCAATAATCAATAAATTCACTTGTAATTTTCTCTCAATCATTTTAAAGTGTCTCCTTCTAGTACCCTGTTTCCTCTAAAATAAGGCCTAACCTGAACATAAGCCCTAGTATGATTTTTCAAGATCGTAATATAAGCCCTACCACAAAAATAAGCCCCAGTTGAGTGAAACCCCGCCCTCCACCCCTGTGCAGTAATCAGAAGATGACATGACTCTGTTTGAATAACTGTAGATTGTTGTCAATGACAAAAATAAACCATCCCCTGAAAATAAGCCCTAATGCGTTTTTTGGAGCAAAAATGAATATAAGACCTTCTCTTATTTTCGGAAAACAGGGTAGTTGTTGACACAGTAGCCCTATTGTATTTATTCATTAAGATAGAATGTCCGTAAGAAGAAATATGGGGTAACAAGAAGGTGTTCATTCTAAACTTTAAAAAAGAAATGGGGCTGATAGGCATTGTGTTTCAGTTTGTCTGTTGATTTTAATTTTATTAGCTGATACTCCAGCCTCCAGTTCAGACTTGTCATTTTTGACAGCATTTTTTCCATAGCGAGTTCACTTATATTGAAAATGCGCAGTAACCTTGCAGTCTGTTAAGTAGATGGAACTGTCAGCAAAGCTGAGGTTCCCAGTGATGGATGACTTCCGTTTTCTCTCTTTCTCACCACAGCTCTATTCATGGTCTCTAGATGGCACCATTAAGCTTTGGGATTTTTTGGATGGCATTCTCATCAAGGTTTGGGAAGCTTTTCTTTTTCTCCTCTCTTATACCAACTTCATTGTTTTCACCTGGGAGGTTAAGTGATATGCGCCAGAGAAAATGCAGTCAGTCTCTGTGTTTACGTTTTCTGTGGAGATCTGAATTGTTTCATCCCTGCCTTGCAAGCCACTTTTCTGAATGCTGGAATATATTCATTGTATGTGCCCTACAATACTCCATGCCAGGGTGGATAAAAACCAGTGGGTTTTTTAAAATTTATTTAAGTTACGATTTAAATCAAAAGATCGATTTTTTATTTAAATCATCCAAAAAGTGATTTTTTTAAAAAAAATTAAATCAAATCCACCCTATTGCAGAACCGTGTCCTTTTAAGTTCAGTGGGACTTAGCCCATGTAAGTGCTTGTAGGATTCCCACCTAACTCAGATTGCAAATGTGTAGGAGATGGATGGATCCTTTTCAGCATAGAGGTGGCTGTAAATGCAGATGTTTCTGGTCTCTAGAATGGACTGCAAATACATTGGTTGAATAAATTGAAAAATTGCCTGCAGTTGCCTCAATTTCCAGTTTGCACCTGTGGTGTTTGATTTGTCTGTTTTCTCTTCCAGACATTCGTTGTTGGGTTCAAACTCCTTGCACTCTATGCGCTTCCCAGTTTTGAGAACTCTGTGTTTCTTATCATCCCAAAGGATAATGCAGAACAGTCAGGTAGGTCATGATCTGAGATCTTCTGTTCTTGTTGTTTGTTGTAAAGGTTCAGCACAGGAATTTGCAGTAAATAAAAAATAAATAAATTTCCATTTGATTCATTCAGTTTATATCCCGCTCCCATTCACACCAAGGCACTACTTTGGGCAGTTCCAGCAGATATAAAACAGAGGATAAATAAAAAAGCACGAAAAGAATTTCATTCATTCATTCAGTTTATATCCCACTCCCATTCACACCAAGGCACTACTTTGGGCAGTTCCAGCAGATATAAAACAGAGGATAAATAAAAAAGCACGAAAAGCAAATAACCATAAAAGCAGATGGTGACTACAGAGGATAAATAAATAAATATAAAACAGAGGATAAATAAAAATGAAAGCACTAAAAGCAAATAACCATAAAAGCAGATGGTGCAAAACATATGGAAACCGAAGTGGACAGAAAAAAAAAGGAATAGGTGATCACCCAGGGTTGGTGTGGAAAGCCCCCCTGCTTGAACGATCATATGGGAACCGAAGTGGACAGAAGAAAAAAAGGAATAGGTGATCAGCCAGGGTTGGTGTGGAAAGCCCCCCTGCTTTACAGCATGTCCTGAAAAATTCACTTTACATTGCATTTCAAGGGTAGGTTATTTGTTCATTTATGGGATGTATGTTCCATCAGATTCCCAGACTGTTTTGTTACCTCCTCCTATGATTTCCAAAGGGGTATTTGGAAATCCGTATATGGCACACGGAGTCCTGTGATAGCTTAAGAATTAGCACGCTTGCATGTTCCCTGAAAGTTAGGCTGTAATAAAGTTGCTGGTCTTTAAGGTGGCGGAAGTCTTCGTGTTGTCTTCTTGCTGTTGCGAGGGGCATCATTTTAAAAATTTCTATTAAGCAGGCTTTTCAGATGAGACATTATGGCGAAACTGAAAACTGTAGCAGGAGAGGAGGCATAGAGCATTCAGATAGAGATGTCATTGTGCTATTCAGAACATGAAGCCTAACGTGCCATTCTGGTTCATAACCACAAGCACTTACGAAGATGTACAGCGTTAGCTGTCTCAGCAGAATCTCAGTTGTGTGTTGATGCAGAAGAGCTATACCGAGATTGATATCTGTGCTGAAGGGAAGGCTGAGGTTGTTAAACCTACGCCCAGAAACTATAATCATAACTTGTTCTAAAAGGGGGCAGTTACACTGTGTCATAAGAGCTTTTAACCTTCTGTTACCATGAACACAAATAATAATTTCCAACTGCTGGGTTCGATATGTATTTTGCTGTCTTGACGAGCACTGATGTCCTATTCCAGCCGGAGCTGTTCTGTTGCCGCGAGTGCTTAGGGGATCAAGGCATCAGGATCTAAGAGAATGTGTAGAAATACAGTTGGTGCTGTAAAGTGGCTACAGTTTTGCAACCAAATCTCAGTTTAATGAAGTGAGTTTCATGTGCCTGCATGATACCAATGAGCTTCAAATATGTTTGCACAGGTCCTTTGTTAGCCCTTTTGTGCAAGCAGGAAAACAAGCCAGGAAGCCACCGTTGACCACAATTTGGCTTTACATTTGGATCGAGAAACTGGGACTAGTAGTTCATAGAGAGGTTAGGAGATGGAAGCCATTTTTTTCACTTCCAGAAAGCCTTCTGTATTTTTGCATTAGGTGACTGTAGGTGCCTTCTGTGAGTTTCCTTAAGTTAGATTATCTTAATTTAAGGAAACTCAAATCCATAGAGAGAGAGAAGAAGATACACCAAAGTTGATGTTAGAGACCTGGTTTATTGTTGTTGAACGGAGTACTCCAGTAGGGCTTCTCCTGGAAACAACATGGTTGAACAAACCACGGCCCTTCCATGTGTGTCTTGTTCACTGTTATATTTGACAAATCAGGTTTCTGTATTCTTGTGTAACAACAAACAAACTGTAGACTTAAGACCTGTGTTTTCTTAAGGGGTTCTGTCAGCAGCAGGAGCTAAACAAGAGTGATCTAGCAACGTGGACTATAAGCCAGTGATTCTCCAGAGCCCTGCTTTACCATTATGTCCGTAGTGGCCATACGTGTGCATACGTTGGATGAGTCACGTTGTTAACCACGTGTTTTTTTGTTTCTCCAGGTGTATTTCAACTAGTTTCACTGAAACTTCCAAAAATACCGGGGCAAGAAGTGGAAGCCAAAGAGCTGGAATTGATTTTAGACGGCATAAGCCAGTCACCCAAATGTACTGCGTTTGGAAGAGATGTAGGCATAGCTTTTTAAAATTATTTTTATGCATTTTATTGTGCTAGAGGGCGGCATGTAGATCATTGGCGGACTCTTTCAGATCAGCTTGTCCTTCTGTTTAAACTTCCTAGCATGTTTTAACTTCTGGCTGTTTCAGGACATTGTTTTCATCTTTCCTAGCCTCCTTTTTCCCTCTGCTGCTGCATGGTGGTAGAAGGCCAGGTGATTGCTTGCAAGGACTCTTTTGCATGCCCTGCTTTCTCTAATACGACAGTTCAGTCAAATGCTGCAGGGGACAACTTTATCAATACTGTAGTGTTGTTTAGTGCATTATAAGCATTTTAGGAATCTGGTTGTGGAGCCAGAGGTTGGGAGTTCAATTCCCCACTGTGTTTCCTTGATAGGGTCTAGACTTGATGATCCACAGGGTCTCTTTCACCTCTGTAGTTCTAAGATTGCATTATACAGTGGTGCCTTGCATTGTGACGTTAATTCATTCCAGCAAAATCGCTGTTGAACGAAAACGTCACAATGCGAAATAAAAAAGCCCATAGAAATGCATTAAAACACGATTAATGCGTTCCTATGGGCTTAAAACTCACAGTTCAGCGAAGATCCTCCACAGCGCGGCCATTTCTGGTGCCTCTTAAGCGAGGAATCCGTCCCAGAAGCCCTGCTTTTTATAATACGACAGTTCGGTCAATTGCTGCATGAGACAACTTTATTAATACTGTAGTGTTATTTAGTGCATTATAAGCGTTTTAGGAATCTGGTTGTGGAGACAGAGGTTGGAAGTTCAATTCCCCACTCTTGTTTCCTTGATAGGGTCTAGACTTGATGATCCACAGGGTTTCTTTCACCTCTTCAGTTCTAAGATTGCATTATATTGTAATATTGCCTTTTTAGCCTTGATTATTTTTCTTTTACGTATTGTATGGGAAATCTGCAGCTAATCATGATTTGTCTTTGAAAGAGCTGAAAGTGATCTCGTCACTTAATGGAGCGATCGCTATGCGAGGCACCACTGTATTGTAATATTGCCTTTTCAGACTTAATTATTTTTCTTTTACGTATTGTATGAGAAATCTGCAGCTAATCATGATTTGTCTTTGAAAGAGCTGTAATTGCATTAAAACACTGATTTTATTTCAAAGACGTCGTGTCAGTATAGGAGTGCAGTGGATTTTGTATAGATAGTTAAGATTCTGAGGAAAAACCGAAAGCACACATGCAATTTGCTCTTGGTAAATAGGACTATCAGTTAAAGATGGATTGTTAAATTTTTTAAAATATTGAATATATACTTATTATTTTGTTGTTGTTTAGTCATCAAGTTGTGTCCGTTAATTTTTTTAAAATATTGAATATAAAATTGTTATTGTTGTTTAGTCATGAAGTTGTGTCCGATTCTTTGTGACTCCATGGACTAGAGCACGCCAGGCCCTCCTGTCTTCCACCGCCTCCCGGATTATTATAGGCCACTCCTAAACATTCATTTGTTCTTTTAAACATTCGTTGACATTCTCTTGGTGCAATAAATAATAATGTTTCTTCAAATCCTACTTATTAGTTTGTAGGCATAATTCACACATGATAATAAATGACTCATGTGCTTTTGTTGAAAAGTTGCAAGTTTGTTTTATGAATGCAAATTCATAAGTAATTTTGCAGTTGCCAATAAACTAATGATGTTTTCTCCCCTGGTTAGAGCCTAATTAGCAGAAGTCTGTTTGCATAGCGGAAAGGACAGGGATGTGATTTATAACTCCTGATTGGTAATAGTAGTGTAAGAAGCCAGTGAACAGGAGGAGAAGCCACCAAGCCTGACCAGGCTCTAGATTAAAATTTCTGAATAGTTAAATTGAATCAGGGCGTTTTGATTGACTTAACATGGCATTTGTCTGTCTTTCATAATGTTTTTCTGGGTTTTTTTTGGGGGGGGGATTGCAAAATGCTTTAGTCCGCTGGACCCTTAAAACAATACTTTTATCTTAAAACAATATTGTGGTTTTTTTACAGGGGGAATATGTGGTATCAGTCTCCGAACTATACCTCCTTGTTTGTTTTTTCAAGAAGAAAAAGATTTACAGGTGAGGAGAGGGTACTCAGGCTGTCTGCTTTGCAAGACACCCATCTGCATTATCCACAGAGTGAGTGTAGGGGTGGATTTAAAAATAAATAAAAGCATCCGTTATAGCAACATTTAGCAATGTTTGTGATATCTTCTGTTGAAGTAGGATTCCTCTCACAGCCTGTTCTAGACTCGTCTAAGGAATATTAAAGATAGGTTTTTATCTAAAAGCTGAACTGACCTTATAGCTGTAACCCCTATTTCTGAAGCTTTCCTGTAGGCTCAGAAGTCAGAGGTAGTTCAACGAGTTGCTTCACTTGTGTGTCTTGCCACCCAAAGGAAGACTGTATCGCGACTGGACACAAGGATGGAAAAATTCGTCTCTGGTGAGGAAAATACTGACCAATATCATCTGCTAATCATGTATCCCCTCCCTTTGGAGTACTTGTCTAGTGTTTGCAATATCACAGCATAAGACTGTCCACCTGCCTGCTGAAGCCAATACCTGAGTATCCCTTTTGTTGCAGTGGATATAGCTTATGTCTTCAAAGCCCAGGACCAGTCCTGTTCTTAGACCAGTAGAAGTGGCACCTTGCATTCACTTTAGTGTCACTGCCATTATCTGTGAAAGATCCTCTACTCTCCCTTCCACAATTGCTGCTGCTCTTTGGGAGTCCCTCTGTCCCCCCCACCTTTTGAATTCTCTGTTCTCTTCTGCTGACGTGACTGCTTAGGGTGGGTACCTCTTGGTCTGGCTCTGATCATTCCCCCGTGCGTGACCCTGCTAGGAGTCATTGCAGAATCCAGTCTGGGGATGGCATTGCTCTCGGCTTCACTGACATTCTCAAGCCAACTCTCCACTTTAGGGGCCACCTCGGGTTGTTGGTTTTAAGTGTCACAAAAATATAGCAACTTGCTAAATTTCTTACTTCTGTTTTCTGTTGCCAGGGTGGTAGAGTGGTGCTTATGGCATTTTCTGCTGTGTGTGCCAAAATATTGTGACTGGATACTATGCGCCTTGTTTGGGAGGGGGAGGGCCCCATTTTCTGCTACGTTTCATGTTCACATGTGGAGGAGCAGAGGAACAGTGCGGTAGAGTCTCTGCACACTCGCCTTCTGATGGAGAGCTTGAACCCGAGAAGAGGGACCTTTGTTTTGTTCTCTTCGCAGCTGCAGAAAAAGGGTTTATAGCCCAAGAGTGAACAGTGTTAGCAATGGTGGCTTCTCTATTTGCATACAGTTACTTTGTTCATCAAAATCAGGGCGGACTAATTTAAATCAGATGGATTGAAATCACAATTTAAAATCTGATTTTTTTGGATGATTTGATTTAAAAAAATCATTTTTAAAATTTAAGTTGTTGTTTAAATAAAAAAAATTAAATATGGATTTTGATCCACCCCGATATAAATCCTAAATGAAATATATTTGTCTCTCTTTTAATCCAAACAGGAGAAATTTTAATCACAGGAGAGAGTACACATTCACCACCATGCACTGGCATCATGACGAAGTTCTGGATCTTGCCTTTTCTGTAGAAGGTAACGTCACCTGAACGGGAAACAGCCTGTTTCAAGCCCTACCTTGCCCATGACTACACTTTATAAGTTAAGGGGTTTCACCAAACTGTTGTTCTCATGAGCTCTTTCCTCAGTTTATCACATACAGAATGTCATACTGACGTTCTCTCCAGATAATATTTGTGAAATGCTTTGGGCACATTAAAGATGCTTTCGGGTGAGTGAAGTGGACCCGCTCAGTACATTTCTCAAAGGTGTGAGGTTTTTTGGAGACATACCCCTGACAGAACCAGCCAAGTTCCTCCTATCCTGCGAGGTTTCACTCCTTTATGTGTAGTGTAACTTTAATAGAAGATAAAACATGTAAGCCTCTATTTGTTTCTTTCTGTGTTGCCATATTGTTTGAGAGGCACAAATAAGCAAGTTTGGTTCTTAAAAGAGCAGCAGAAGAGAAAAGCTGAGTCACTGCCTAAATGGAACTAGGAGAAAAATCTTTGTCTCTCTTAGAAGCAGTTGAGATTTTTTAAAAAATCTTAACTGCATGGGAATGCAGACCAGCCCCTGCAGTGTTTATTTGATTCCTGGTTTCCCTTTTTGAAACAGGAAACTGTTTGACTTGGCAAACAAGAAGTTTCTGCTGTGTTTGCAACATAGGTTTTTTGCTTCCATAAGCACAATATAACTGCTTCCAGGATAGACTTTGCTTAGAAACCTTCCTTTCTTTACCTTAACCAAATACAGTGGTACCCCGCATAGCGATGGTAATCCGTTCCGGATAAATCGTCGCTATCTGGAAACGTCGCTATACGGAACGAAAAACCCCATAGGAACACATTAACCCCTGTTTAATGCGTTCCTATGGGGCAAAAACTCACCGCTATGCGGAAATCCTCCATCCGGCTGCCATTTTCGCCGCCTCGGTAAGCGAGGAATCGGCATGAAAACGCTGCGGGCAGCCATTTTGGAACCGCCGATCAGCTGTTTTAAAACGCTTACCGATCATCGCAATGCAGTGTTTTCCCTATTTAAACATCGCAATGCGATCGCAAAATCCGCTTCGCTATGTGGATTCGTCGTTAAACGGGGCACTTGTTATGCGAGGCACCACTGTATAAAAATTACAAACCCCAGATCTGCTCTGTTTTTCAGCCCTTATGTAATTATGCCCATAAGAACCTCTTTTAACTGTTTTGATTTAAAATTATGTATTTGAAAATATTTTATATTCCTCTGTAGGTGTCCATTTATCTGTGTGTGTCTAAATAATCATTTAAATAAATAATACTAATACAGCGGTACCTTGCTTTATGAAAGCCTTGGTTTACGTAATTTTCAGTTTACGAACCAAAATCTAGAAAATAATGCCCCGGTTTACGTTTTTTTCTTTTCTTTTTTTCCCGCTGTACGAAAGGGTTTCCCCAGGACGCATAGCGCCTGGAGTTTTCTAGCGCTGCCCCCGTTCCTAGCGCAATCCGTGTATCGGTTTACAAAATTTCTGCATGATGTAACGTCCCAGAGGACGCATTAATTTCATAAACCTAGGTATGCCTGTATTTAAATAATAATCATATTATTCAAATAAATAAAATAAATGCATGTGTCTGTGTGCCAGGAAGGTTCTTTTATAGCATACCAAGCACATGCCATGCCAGTTTTTAAATGTAGATCCCAGTGGGTTACTGAAGCTTGTTGTTAGTTAGGGGTATGTAGGACTACAGCCTTGCATTCTTTTAGCAACTGAACCCAGGTTGCTGTTTATGGCAGCAGGTACTGGTGTTATGGCTGAGGAAGCCTCATTGTTCAGTTGTTGATCACGTGACTTGACATCCCTGGGAGTTTTTGGACTATCTTTGTTTTTTGACTACAACTCCCAGAATCCTACAGCCAGCACAGCCATTCTCTGAAAACACCCCTGTAAATTAGTCGGACTTCCCATTTTTGAGGCGTGTGTGTTTTGTTTGGATTGATAGGAACCAACCTCCTCAGTGGTGGGATCGAGTCTGTCCTGGTTCAGTGGCGAGATGGGTCGGATGCTAAGAAGGAATTCTTGCCCCGTCTGGGATCCACGATCCAGCACATCTCTGTTTCTCCTGATGGGACTTTCCTGTGTACCTCTCATTCAGATAACAGTAAGCACAAGCGTGGACAGAGGGTGTTTTCCATATGGTGCTGGAGTTCTGGAATGTAGCTTTGAAAAAAGGGAGTCGGTCACTCAGTGAGGTATTCCTCTCCAGGGAGTCACATTTCCTGAGTTCTTTTGAGTGCAGAGGTAATTCTGATTCATCATCCATCTGTTCCCTGCGGCTCCCTGCTTTTTTCTTGATGTTGCTCCATGTGTGTTATAGCAGCTGCATGGAGGCTGAAGAGACAGGTGTGAATGGAAGGGTCTCTATCTTTCAGTTTTACTCTTCTTTCCCTTACACTCCTTTCATCTTCTTTTTTCCTCGCTTTGGTCCAGAGCCAGTGCTTTGGGTGGCCTACATCCAGTGCCAGTTATACGCTCATGCTCTAGGTCAGTGATGGCGAACCTATGGCACGCGTGCCGCAGCTGGCACACAGAGCCCTCTCTGCGGGCACGCAAGCCATAAGTCACTGGATCACTACTTCCCCCCTGCCGGCAGCCAAACCTCCGGAGGCGGCTGCAGCTGTGGTGCTGGTGCTTCGACAGGTGGCGGGCCAGGATCCGGAGCAGCTGGCACTGGCAGCGGATCCGGAGTGGGGTCTCGGGGCACCTCCATGCTCAGGATTTCCCCCTTCTGCCACCACTTCTGGTTCTGCCACTGCCTGCTGGGGTTTTTTTGTGTGTGTGTTTTTTCCAGTTTGGGCACTCGGGCCCAAAAAGGTTCACCGTCACTGCTCTAGGTTATGAATTTAGGTTATGAATCTAAGAATTTTATCTTTTTGTTAATGGTTAAGAAAACAGTTAAGTTACAGAATAAGCACTGCATCGATATCTGGGCTGCTAGACCCACAATAAAAGAGGAGAAGTCGTTAAAAACAAACAACTCATTTTTATTAAGGAAGTTACATTCATGATAGAAAAGCTGAGCCCCTGATCCTAACTTTGTGGACGTATGCCCTAGAACGGTCTGTGACCCGGTCAGTGCTAGAGGTGCCATGGCGTGTCCACTTCTTGGAGAATCAGAAAAGGAAGGAAGTTCAACTGATGGGAAGACCCCTGAGAGTAGGAGTCTTAACATAAATGCAGGAGGACATAGAGGGTGAAAAGGACAAACAAGGTTCCCTGGTTTCTCTACTCCCATATACGTATGTGGTCATTTGGGCAGGATAGGGCTAAGAGGCAGTGTTTGGAGGGCATCAAGCCATTATTACTCATTAGGCGATCATTGTCCAGTAGGTTGGGTCATGACTTCAGCAGTCATTGAGTAGAAGAGCCGTTCATAAATAGTTTAAACAAACACATTTGGAAGGAGAACTGGCATATAGCTGCTGTGTGGATAGACTGTCCACCTGTGGGGTCATAGCGAAAGCAGGATACACGGGAGGTGATGGAGAAAGGCTTAACTCTCTGTAGGTTTGCTCAACCTGAATTCCAAAGAATGTTAAAGGTGAACTCTAGCCATATGAACAACCCCTGGAAGCTCAGGCAGCAAGAAAATGGAGTCTGGATTGTCTCTATGGCTATTGCTAGACTACAGTTCCCATCTCTCGAGTCCCAGGTCATGTTTGTCAGCCCTGAAGAGAAGCTGGAGTCTAACCACATCTGGAGAGCCAAGGGTTCTCTAAGCCTGTCCCATAGAAAAGGGTATGGCATGCTCCCGGCTGTTCCCATCAGAAATCAATCTGGCTTCATCAGTTCTGAGTTATTTACAATTTCTAAACACCCTTGCATTACAGTAGCCTGGAGTTTGAAAGTCATAAGAACAGATAGAATAATCAGGGCCTTTTTTTCCAGGTAGGGCCATAGCTAAGGTTCATCAGCCACCTCAGCATGCCTGCCCCAAGGGAAGGCCCTGATTCCAATAAGACTCCCAAGCAACAAACCATATACAGTGAGGTCTCGACTTACGAACGGCTCGACATACGAACGTTTCGACTTACGAACCGCTCTCATAGGAATATATGGACTCGACTTACGAACTTAGATTCGAGTTACAAACTCTTTTTTTTCCTTTTTTTTAAAGCTAAGTCATCGGCTGCCCCAAGGGAAGGCCCTGATTCTACGAAGAATCCCAAGCAACAAACCATATACTGTATAGTCATTTTAAAAAAATAAAAAATATCCCCCTCTAGTGGCAGAAGGCGGAATAGCAGCTTCCCATTAGTTTCTATGGACGAAAAGAGCAGATACGGATTAAATGGTTTTCAATGCATTCCTATGGGAAATGCAGATTCGACTTAAGAACTTTTTGACCTGAGAACTGCCTTCCAATACGGATTAAGTTCGTAAGTCGAGACCCCACTGTACTGTATAGTCATTTTAAATGGAACTCTTTTTTGCATTAAGTGGTTTGGGGCATTGGTGTGGGTTCTGGATCCTCAGTTTTAAACAATAAAACTTGATGTTAATATTTTGTGAGCCTTCCTTGTTAACCATGTTAACTTTTCTTTGCCATCATGTAGAAATAGTAATCATACACAGCAACCTGAGGGTCGCCTCAATCATCCAGGGGCTAATCAAAGGTATGTTGGGTTATATATATATATTAAAAATTCAGCTTGTCCAAAGCAGTTGTACAGTATTCCATCCCAAATGGTCTCTCCTTCCATTTCAGGTAGTGACATCAAGACTGGCTTGATGGTTGACCCAAGAACTAAAGCCTTGGTTCTGAACGGAAAGCCTGGCCATTTGCAGTTCTATTCCTTGCAAAACGACAAACAACTGTACAGTGTACGTGAGACCAGCAACCACCTACTGTTGCCTTGCCAATAATCACACAAAAGTTGTTAGTCCGATAAGGAACTGTGTTCCCATACTGGCTGCAGGCCTCCCTGAACAAGCCCTCTCCAGTCCAAACCCACCCGGCCTGGAAACTCAGGATGCTAACCTCTAAAAAGCTGTTTTGTGTTTTATTTGTTGGGGGGGGTGTTTAATTGCCTTCCGACACCAGACACTTCTGTCAAGAAAAAAATGTAGTTGAGGGAGGAACTTCTGTGCTTCCTGAGAGTTGTAGTCTCACTGCCCATTAGGCTCTGTAGAGGGCACCTCCCAAGGAACTAAGACTCCCAGGAAGCACTGCAGAAGCTTCCTTTTTTTGTCTATAGAAGGCACCTCCCAAAGAACTAAGACTCTCAGGAAGCACTGCAGAAGCTTCCTTTTTTTTACATTAACAACAGGAAATGAAGTCTGGAGAAGGCTGTGGCACCTCAGAGGTAGACCCTCCTCCAGGCAAGCAAAATACAGTGTGTGTTCGTGGGCTGGGAGAGTGGGAAAAGCCAGTGCTTGGAAAAGTGACTCCTCAACCAGTAAGACCACGGGGTATCCTAGGAGTTAACTGGGTGGTGCTGGAAGCTCTACTCAAAAAAGTGACTCTTACAAACTTCAAGAAAGAGCTGTACCTGAAGTCTTGCTGAACCCTTGCCTGGATGAGTGACTGGCCAGACTGCATGAGGTAACTTCACGCGTTAAGTCTTGACTGAAATAATCAACCTCCCCCTAAAGCAATTATGCCTCTTCTGCAAGACACTTTAATTAACATGTTGACTTCAGTCAGCAAACAATTATTAATAGAGTTAAGTGACTGCTTGTTTATATGCAAGATGCTAACTCTGTGCAAGACTGATATAAAGGCCCTCAATTTTTGGTCTTGCAAATATTTTAGGGTTCAGCTTTGACAAGGCCCAGCCAGCTTGTCAAGTGGTCAGGGATTCTGGGAGCTGAATGAACTCCCAGCCATCTGGAGGGCTGTGGGCTTTTGGTCTTGCAAATATTTTAGGGTTCAACTTTGACAAGGCCCAGCCAGCTTGTCCATTGGTCAGGGATTCTGGGAGCTGAACTCCCAGCCATCTGGAGGGCTGTGGGTTGAGAACCGCTACGTTACTAGGAAGATGAAAAAAGATGGTGGAGACATTAATATATTTATCATATGATTGTGTTATTTTGTTTATATCTTGCCTTTCTTTTGTAGGATCCAAAGCGGATCACAAGATCTGTTTTTAATAGAGACTTAGTTTAAAAACAATAAACCATACTGAAAACAATATTAAATGTATTAAAACAGCACAAAATGAACACAATTTGAAAACCTTTAAAACAGCACAAAAGAGCACAACGACTATCCACCATTAAGAGGACCTTCCTCGTTGCTCAGTTAATTACCAAAGGCCTGTGGAAATAAAAAGGCAACGAGGAGGAGGCCAGGCTGGCCTTCTTAAAAGGGGGTCATGCCCTCTGGGACCAGCCATTGAGAAGGCACATGCGGCCGTCTTGTGTAGTAAGATTCATGGTGATGATTGGATAGTCTCATCCTCCACATTACAGGCTCATATTGATTTTCCTCTCTCTGCTTGAGAATTCTTGCCGGATCACCAGTTAACGTCACAGCCCCTGAGAAGGCTTCCTTTCATCAAAAACCTGTTGCCGTGACTGATTCTCAAAGGCCACGGGAGCTCAGAGTTTTTTCTCTTTCTTTTTAATTGTTGCAGTTAGATATTGTGCAGCAGGAGTTTATTCATCAGTACGGTTTGACCCAGATTGAGTTGTCGAAGGCAGCGTTCGACTCCAAAGGCAACTGGCTGGCCACCGTGGAACAGCGGCAAGGAAGCTGCAGTGACCTTGAATTGCAGATGAAGCTGTGGGCGTACGATGAGCAAGCACAAAGGTATTTCTGCTTATGCGTTCCTTCCAAGGGGTTGGCAAAATGCTGTTTACTGCCTGCCTTGCACAGAAGCTGTTGTGTCCTGGAAATCGCTTTCATGGCTCGTGTAGAACTTAAGGCACGTAGGAGGGTTGCGAACCCCGGCACTTGAATTGTCCTTTCGCTTGTGCACTCTTACATAAGTGAGGGGCTGTAGGGTGGTTGGTTGGGCGCGTGCCTTACAGAAGGTCCCCGTCGTCTCCCAATCAGATTGGAAATGATGCAGTGGATTGGGTCTGAATTGCTGGAGACTCGCTAAAAATGCTCCTTGAATCTCTCCCTTGCCTGTCAGGATCACTAGCAGTCAGATGGGATGTAATGGAACATAACAAAACCAGAGAGACCCACTGCCAGCCTAGTTAAAGGAATCTTTTGACTCAATAGGAGATGGCATTCCAGTGTTCCCATCTTCCTTTCTTGCCCTCGAAGAGTTCTTTCTTTGCTGATGTCAGAAGCACCACACTCCAATTAATGTCTCAGATGATTTTTGCCCAGAGATGTGAGCAACACAAAGGGGCATTTGGGGTAGCTAACATCAAATCTTCCTGAAGGGGCACTTGGGGTAGCTAACATCAAGTCTTCCATTGATTTTCATACGTTTTCAGAACTCCATTTTTTTTTTCAAAGCCCGTAATTATTTTAGCAGTGTATGCATACAAAGATTCCACTTCGGAAGCCCTAAAAGAGTTGGGTCTTGCAGACGTTTAGCATAAAGTCAACATGCTGCGTGTGTACTGGTGTGAGGCTGGCACACCACTATCTGGACCCTAATACACATCTGTCTCTTTTTCTTCCTTTATAGCTTTACTCTGAACACAAGAATAAATATGCCCCATGAAGACTGTGTCACAGGTCTGTGTTTCCGCTGCACAGATGAATCTGAAAATGCAACCCCGACATTGGTGACAGCCAGCCGTGATGGGCATTTTAAAGTCTGGATGCTGCTGGTTGATAACGAGGATGAAAGTAAGTGAGGACGGAAGGGTCGTTTTTATTTGCCATTCAGGTGGACACTTTCCTTCCATCTGCATCTCAGTAAGGTTGAGAAACGTGGCAGAGCCCGTTTTTATCCTTGTGGACTGTGGATCACAGTTGATTTTGCAGTCTGTGTCCTGCAGATGAAGGAATTGTCAGAGACCTTGATGAGAGGGGGTGGCTTGCAAACGAATCCAAAATTGGGAGGGGTTCCCCTTCTCTGGTCAGGAGCAGCCCATGTTTCATGGGGCTTCTCAAACGCAAGAGAAATGGCACCTGTGGGCTAGTCTGTCTCTCCTCCTAGACCTGGGTTTGGCAACTGGTTCCTCTGCCGCTGTTGTCCTCGCAGTTCTTTGTATCCTCACCCAGCAATAGTGGGGGATGATAGGCATTGAAATCCAGCACCCTGTGGAGGGTTGCCCACGGGTGCCCCAGGGACTCCTTGGATGGAGCCTTTGCTCTTCCTGATGCACATGCGCTGCCCTTCCCCAAGTACTGTTTGCATTTCTTTTTCTGTTCTTGGGCAAAATGGAATGCTGTTTCTTCAGTTTTAGGAACTGGTGGAATTACAAAAAGTCTAGTGGGTTCTATGGGTTTGGTTTGGTTTGCCTCCTTTAACCTGACTTGTTCAGCATCTCCAGCGTTAAAAATTACTAGAGACTTTAGCAGAGGAGCAATTTTTTTCTCTTGCCGTCTGTTTTCCTTCCCTTTTTTCCCCCTTCAATTGACACCAAAATAAGTTGCACCAAAACAAAAGGAGGCTTCAAAAACAGAAGTTTCTGTCTTGGATGTTTAGTGAGAACATGGAAGTTCTTTCGCTGAAGAACATTTATTGTTTATTTATTTAAAGCATTTTACTCTGCCTTTCTGCTTTAAAGGACCCCTATGTTCCTCCTGGTCCCTTCAATTGACACCAAAATAAGTTGCACCAAAACAAAAGGAGGCTTCAAAAACAGAAGTTTCTGTCTTGGATGTTTAGTGAGAACATGGAAGTTCTTTTGCTGAAGAACATTTATTGTTTATTTATTTAAACCATTTTACTCTGCCTTTCTCCTTTAAAGGACCCCTATGTTCCTCCTGGTGCTTCCAGAAGGGTCGTGGGCACCTTAAAAACAAGCACATATCCCTCTGAGTCGGAAGGGGTCGCAGGCCACTTCCTTCAGCACATCTCATCTGAGGAAGTGGACCATGCTCTCTACAAAGGTCACACTAGAATATATCTGTCAGGCTTTTTGGGGCCACAGCTGTTGTGTTCTTATTTTTATTATACCTCCAAAGCAGACGAACGAAGCTGCTTCATTGAAACCTTGTGTTGTCTTACCTTTTTCACCCCAGACCTTGTAAACTTGCAGGTCTGTGTTGTCTTGGAAGGGAGGGTACAGGTCACTCCTTCTATTAAATAATAAAGCATTGTAATGATTCTGTGGCGACGTGAGTTTACTAATGTTAAGCAATGAAGGAGGAGAACATGTAGGAGTCCCCAGAATAGGTGGACGCGGCTCCTTTATTTTGGAGTGGTCAAAAGGTTTGAGTCTAAGCAAGCTGTGATCACGTCGTCTGAATTTTCTGTTTTCATTCTTTGAAATCTGTTCTCTCTTTTTGTAACATGGGGTTGATTACCTTCTACACTTGGATAGGTGGGACTTGTGAGCAAGGAACCAGACAGAGAGGCTTCAGGGGTCAGTTTTCTGGTCTTCTCTGAACATTGAAATATCATTGGGAAATTTGTGTCCCTTTAACGTGGTGCCAATTTCTCTGCAACACATTCTGAAAGGGCAAACCCATTACTACCCTTTCCTGCTCAGATGCAGGAGAAGATTATGAGGGAGGTGCTTGCTTGGATGCTACAAGAGAGTAAGAACACACACACCACACACACAAAAGGTTCTCTTTTCTATAGAAGTGGGAGGCCGAACATGCACTCTTGCACTCTGCTCCATGAATGTGTTCACAGAGGCTCCTGTGGAAACAGGAGACCTGGACCTCTTTGGCTGCCCCTTGGCCACTCCAGAGCATCTTGGCCAAGCACCCACACCAGCAAGAAGCATGCAGTGCAGACAGCATTTTTTTGATCAGCTACCGAGGCCAGCCAAAAACAGTTGACCACTGTGTTGATATCCGCTGGTGCTACTTGCCAAAACAGATCGATCCTAACAATGTGTTGGTTCTCTTAACAGATGAAAGCATAACCTGGGCCTGTGATTTTGTCGGAAGCTATCACCACTACCGAGCTACCAACTGCTGTTTCTCCGAAGACGGCTCTTTGCTTGCTGTTAGCTTTGATGAAATAGTCACTCTGTGGGACTCGGAAACGTGGGATCTGAAATGTACATTCTGCCACCCCCCTGGAATGATACAGTATGTACCTCTGTCATGGACCATTCTATTTCTGCTGGTTCACTTGACTTTTCTTTATGGTGTTTTTGCGATTTGTGTGTGTGTGTTTTTCAAAAGGCAAAGTGTCTTTGGAAAATATAATGCTGCTAATGTAGTAGCCTCATAATTTAAAATATTAAGCAGGAAGCATCTCTGTTCTGAAGCCCTCCTCCTGGTCCATTCCAAACTTCCCCTGTGATTCTTAGGTCTACAGTTTTTTTTTTAAAGACAGGATTTGTCAGTAGAAGCTGACAACCATCTCTGCCACCATCTGTGTCTACAGTTTATGCCAAACTCAGAGATTCAAACCCTTGGCTTAAATTAGATTGGAATGTTTTCTTAACACCAGGCTCATTCAATAAAAGGACAACTGGTGACAATGGATGTGAGAGAGGCAGTGTGAGGGTGTTTGGATGACTTGAAGTGATTTTTAGTGAACGTGAAGGAAGAAAGTATCAAAGCAAGACTGCAATTGAGTATGAAAAGACTAAAATCATGACTACCAAAGAACTACACAACTCCAGTGTTGACAGTGAAGAAATAGAGATTTTGTATACTTGGTTCAATCATCAATCTGCATGGAGGCTGCAGCCAAGAAATCAAAAGAAATCTGAGACTTGGAAGGGCAGCAATGAAGGAATTGGAAAAGATCATCAAGTGTAAGGATGTGTCACTGGAGACCAAGACCAAGGTCATCCACAGTCTTGTATTTCTGATACATATATGGGTCTGAAAGCTGAATGGTAAAGAAAGCAGATGGGGTGGAGGGAATGATTCATTGGAAATGCGGTCCTGGAGGAGAGCTTTGTGGATACCATGAACTACCAGGAAGATGAACAAGTGGATCTTAGAGCAAACTAAGCCTGAACCATCTCTGGAGGCACAGATATTGAAGCCAAGGCTGTCAGTCCTGGGGCACATCATGAGAAGGCAGGATTTTCTTCTGAGGCCTGCCTCTCCAGGTTCAGCCAGTGCTTTGCCACGCTGCTCCTAAGATCTTTGGTGGTGGTGAAAACTCAAGAGCAGGGGGCCTGTGGCCTTCCAATAGCTATTTAAATTCCCTTTTACTTTACTAAGTAGTTGCATTCCTTCATTTGTCTGTGGAATGCCTCTCTTGAATCCTGTTTGTGTGGATTGTAAATATTTGCCCAATTGCCGAGGAGTAGAAATTGCATACGTCTTAATTGCATGGCCATAATAAGTCAGAAGCAACTTGACAACACATAAACGTCTGCACGGCCATAATAGGTCAGAAGCAACTTGACAACACATAACAACACCAAAGTAGCGTCTGTCCCCAAGTTTCTTTACATCATTGCTCAGGAAAGTTACATGAACATTTGACAAATGTTGCTTGAAGGGGGGCCAGGAAGGCCGCTGTAAGTCCCAAATTTGGTTTTGTGTGATTAGTGGTGATGTGCCTCAGATTGATTGATCGGCCATAATAGGTCAGAAGCAACTTGACAACACATAACAACACCAAAGTAGCGTCTGTCCCCAAGTTTCTTTACATCATTGCTCAGGAAAGTTACATGAACATTTGACAAATGTTGCTTGAAGGGGGGCCAGGAAGGCCGCTGTAAGTCCCAAATTTGGTTTTGTGTGATTAGTGGTGATGTGCCTCAGATTGATTGATTGACTGACTGACAATTTTCTCCTGCCTTTCTCCTCAAAGAGTGAAAAACAGTAAATATAATCCAGCATATACTATACTAGAAATCAGTAAACAAAAATAACACCAAAAACACATTCAGAGCAGTAAGGCGCAACAATCCATTTAAAAAACTCCACTCAGGAAGCCAGTCACAAAGGGAAAGCCTGCCTGAAAGAGTAAGACGCAACAATCCATTAAAAAATAATCCACTCAGGAAGCCAGTCGCAAAGGGAAAGCCTGCCTGAAAAGAAAGGTCTTTGCCTGCTTGCAGGAGGACAGCAAAGATGGGGCCAGCCTGGCCTCCAGTGGGAGGGAGTTCCAGAGTCTGAGAGCAGCTGCAGAGAAGGCCCTCTCCTGTGTCCACAGCCATAGCTGATGCAGCTGTTGAAGGTCTCAAGAGTAATAAAGCATTCATGCTTCGGAATGCAGTTAATATTTTAATGAATTAAAAGACTAGAAAGTTGCACACCAAAGATAGAACATGAGAAGTTATTGTGCACATATACGCACTTCCAGAGGTCCAGCCTTGGAAGTTGAGGTGGCACAAAGGGCTGCCTAAAAGGGCCCGGCTTGTGAGTTCAGTGATGATGGGTCTGCTGTGTTAAATTATTTGGACAAGACTTAACAACTAATTATATTTGTCTTTGCCCTTTATTCTTCCAGAAACCTTTGTTTTGGGAGGCTGAGTTGTTCGAAATACCTCCTTGGTAGCACCAGTACTGGCTTTCTGTGCTGCTGGAACTTGCTGAGCTGTACAAGTAAGAGCGTTTGGCCTTATGTCTTGTGGTTACTAACTCTTTCCTCCTTCCTTGTTTCTTTTGCCATTTTAAAAACTGCTCATTTGATTAAAACGCCCCAAAAGCAGCTGCTATGCATTTCAAAGGTCTGGTGCCTAGTACCAGATGCTTCTAGTTTGATTTTGACAGACCTGCCCAGTGGAAACTACTTTTTTGTGGTTGTGTAAAATACTGTTAACCCAGCCCTAGGTTTTGATCTGGAATACTTTAGTTGAAGTATTACGGTTCTTAAAGTGATTTCATAAATGCCTTGGTGATAGCATGAATGCAATGTTAAATGTCAAACTGGGCCATGTTTGAATTAAATTTTAAATTGCACCAGCGTAAAGGCATCCTGATACCTATCCCCACCTCCACTCCCAGAAAACTGCCTGCAAGTTCCAGAAGTGGACGTAACTGACCAAATAGGCGGGATATAAATTAAATAAATAAATAAGCTTTTTCCATTTTTCTTTTTGTTAGCTGCACTTTCACCAGGATGAAAATGCTATAGAAGGTATTCCATTAACTTCTAGTTACTGAAAAACGACGTGTATTTCATGCAATGCTCAGGGGTTGCCCTCCGTAGAAAAGCACAGAAAAACAAAATGAAATGGAAAAGTATGTTGAGGCTACTTGCTAGATTGGTATCAGATAAAAGTAGGTGGGGCTCTCACACCTAAGACAAATTATCCTGGGTAATTTAACATCTGCAAAACTGTAGCATAGTCCAGTTTTGCGCGCCCTCTTTTGTGCTTCTCTTAAGTCAGCAGATGGTGCAGGAAGAAACTCTTACATCAGCAACTTTATGCTTTCATGATCTGTATCTGCTGGAATATATGTCTCTCCTTCGGCACAGATGGAAGGGTCAGATCCAGGAATCTGCCTGTGGACGTGCAGAAGCTGGCTACCCCTTTCATCTCTTTTTCTCCCAATTCCTGCCATCTGCTTGAAATAGCCCACCAAAGTAGGTGATGCTGCTAGTTGCACTCAGCTTGGGGTGTTGGGCCCTGAAGGAGAACAGGGGCAGGAAATGAGCATGAAGTTGGGCAGAGATACATTCTCTCCCTCTGGAAGATGTCTCTACAGATTCCCCCTTTCATATCAGCCCATCCAGCAAAGTCAGGTCCCTTGACCAACATGGACTTCAGAAGGGTAGCAGGAGAATAAAAAAGTGTGGGCCTCATCTGAAAGTAGATCTCTAGGCCCAACCCAGTTTTTTAGCACAATGGTCATATTACATTTTCTTTTCTTTTTATATTATTATTTGATTTTTCTAATTCATTTTCAGTAGGGATAGGATTGGGGCTGGGGGGCTGGGGGAGTGGACATAGTTAGGGGAAGGGTAAAATTCCAGAGAAGCGTGAGGGTACTTTTACATCCACTTACATAATTTACTAGAATTTTTAAGGGGAAGGGTAGAATTCTAGAGAGTGTGATGGTACTTTTACATCCACTTACACAATTTACTAGAATTTTTAAAATGACCAAAAAAGAATACGGGTAACTTAACAGGTTTTACCAGAATTACTATGGTTACAAATCTCTCCATTCCCTGATTGGACCTTCACATTCTTTTATCTGTGCTTAAATGTTCAATGAGATGCTTCAAATGAAACCAGAATTTTAAAACAGTAATATGTATGTTAAAGAAGCACTACAAGCAAAAATATCAAAGGAAACATATGGACTAGTAAAAATGACGGAAGAGGAGCTTTGCTGTAGGTGGCTGATAGAAAACATCATCTCCGTCAAAGATAGGCCCAAGTATTGAGGTCTGCAGGAAGGCCTTCCTCTGTCTTCCCTGAGTGGGAGCCATACCTTACGTGGAGAAATGAGAAAGGGTCTTCTTGCATTTCCTGCATGAGATCATTTTTGGTTTTCAGATGTAGAAATACAAGTTTTGGAAAAACAAAACATGAAGCTAGCAAGTTCTTAAATGTCTAGCAGCCAAATTATTTAGTATTTCTCATTGTCTTAGAATAGCAGCATTGTTGTAGATAGTGGAGTCTATAACTTTGGAGCTCTAAAAAAAATGCCAGATTTGCCATTCTGGTTCAGAGCTGGTCTGATGTGCTTTAACCTGCTGTCTCCTGAAGTGGCTGGTTTGGGAACTTATGGACTCCCGTCCTGACCAAATTATATTAAGATGTATGATCACCATTGATGAGATAGTGGATATATATTTGTTTAGATCGTTGGCTTAGGATTTAGGAGATAAGAGATTCAGGTCTCTACTTGGCCATATAATTCACTAGGTAATATTAAGTAAGTCACAGGGGAAGTAGGCACTTTCTGAATCAAAATTAATTGACTCAAGGGGGGCTTACTGTAGTTGTGGGTTACTTTAGCATAATAAATCACAAAAAGAGTAGGGTCATTGAGTCAGTGGAACTTATAGAGAAGTGGGCTCACCAAATCCCCACTGATTCTAGTGTGATAGTAGGGTCATTGAGTCAGTGGAACTACTGATTCTAGTGTGATTTACTACACTAAGCAACAATTTCAGCCTGTCTGTACAAATCCACCTAAAGCATCGTTTGTCTGAAAGGCTAGGTTGGGTTCCACTGGACATCGCCCCCACTTTCCTCTCCTGCCCTGCCAAACAGCTGGCTGCTCTGGGACTCTGTGGTTCTCTTTCATGTCTGGTTGTTTTGCTTTCCAGTGGAATGGAGTGCCCAGTTAAATGTCATCGTTCTCCAGCCTGATTGTCTCTCTGAGAACATGGTTGCAATTTCCTGGAATTCGGAATACTCGGATGGTAAGCATAAAGGCTTCTTTCTCTTTTGGTTGAGAGGTGGTTGGCCCTAGTTATGGAACTAGGAAAATATTTTATTTTCTTAGACTTTAAAGCCACTTAAAACAACCCCTTTTTTAAAAAAAAATGCTGATTCAGTCTACATGGAAGTTGTGCCATCGCTTGGATTGTAACATTATTTAGTTGAAGAAAATGTGCTGAAAGAATAATTCCTCTCCTTTCCTCCCACATATCGTTGCCAAAACTCCTGAAAAGGCCCTCTTGTGGGTCAGGGGTCCTGAAAAATGTTAAGAGAGTGCAGCTCTGGAAGAGTGGCATTGCCCCAAATGGGCAGAAGATGCCTATCTTTACAGCTGTCTTACAATCCTACTAAGCAACTGCCTTTTAGACTTTTCAGATCCTATGTTCAGCTGCGTGGTTTTCTGTCCTGAAATGAGGTTTTGGCCTGTAGATTTTCATTATATGAAAGCAAAAGTACATCTCTGAAACAGGGCACCCCACAGTATACTAATAATGTTCTGGCCCCGCGGGGGACATATTTCTTTATTTTTGTTTTCTATTATATGTGTTGTAATTGCCCAGAGTACTGCTCCGACACTAACGGGAGCATGATACAAATTGAATTAATTAATTAATTCTGGCAGGTGCTAATATTCTATTCCAATTCATTGGCTGAAATCCACTAGTAGCTTGCAGCTGTTGTTGTTGTTGTTTAGTCGTTGTGTCCAACTCTTCATGACCCCCATGGACCAGAGCACGCCAGGCCCTCCTGTCTTCCATTGCCTCCCGGAGTTGGGTCAAATTCATGTTGGTTGCTTCGTTGACACTGTCCAGCCATCTCGTCCTCTGTCGTCCCCTTCTCCTCCTGCCTTCACACTTTCCCAGCATCAGGGTCCTTTCCAGGGAGTCTTCTCTTCTCATGAGATGGCCAAAGTATTGGAGCCTCAGCTTCAGGATCTGTCCTTCCAATGAGGTCAGGACAGATAGCTTGCAACTAGAGGTGGCCTATTAAATCAGTGGAACTTGCAAAAGAGGGCCCACTCTATTTGAAAATTACTATTGGATTTCAACCATTGTTTACTGTCAAGCAGTTTAAGGCCTATGAGAAGAAATTAATTTTATTATAGAATTTCCTTTTCTTTGTCTGCTATTCTGCCATTTCATTTGCCTACAGCCCATTTTTCATTGATGTGGTACATGCAGAAAAGTAATTTGGAGGGGCTACAGTTCTCAGAAACCCCCAGCCCGTGTAACTGCTGCTCTGAGTAGAGACAAGTGACAGGAATATTTATTTATATATTTTAATCATTGTCACTTAGAACTGCAGAGCTGGAAGAGACCTTCTAGATCAGTGGTCCCCAACAGCCAATTATGATGTGGTACATGCAGAAAAGTAATTTGGAGGCGCTACAGTTGTCAGAAACCCCCAGCCCGTATAACTGCTCCTCTGAGTAGAGACAAGTGACAGGATTATTTATTTATATATTTTAATCATTGTCATTTAGAACTGCAGAGCTGGAAGAGACCCTCTAGATCAGGGGTCCCCAACCTTTTTGCCTCCATGGACCAGTTTAGCGTGTGGGCGGGGGGGTCTGTGCGTGCATGCGCTACAGTTGTCAGAAACCCCCAGCCCGTATAACTGCTCCTCTGAGTAGAGACAAGTGACAGGATTATTTATTTATATATTTTAATCATTGTCATTTAGAACTGCAGAGCTGGAAGAGACCCTCTAGATCAGGGGTCCCCAACCTTTTTGCCTCCATGGACCAGTTTAGCGTGTGGGCGGGGGGGTCTGTGCGTGCATGGGAGGGGCGTGCATGTGTCTGCGCATGCGGGGGGGCAAGAGATTTGTCTCCGCAGCCTGGTCCTGGCAAGGCCACGGACTGGGGCTTGGGGACCCCTGCTCTAGGTCATAGAATCCAGCCCTTTTCAAGGAGGGCCAGTGTAGATTCAAACTCCCAACCTCTGGCTCCACAACCAGAATTCTGAACCACTTAGCTATCCAGCAGCTCATACCCCACCTTTCTTCTGAAAAGCACCCAAGATAATACTAGTTTAAGAGGCAGAACTCCTGTGATTTTGACACATATTACTCTTTGTTTGTAAACGCTGTGGCTGAAGTTCTGTTGCTTAGTGTAGTAAGTTGCACTCAAGTAAGTCCATTGAATTATTGGAAATTTGTTGAATCAGTTCCAGGTTGTGACATTAAATTGCAAGTAGAGTAGGCCTATTTGAATTAGTAGCACCTTACGCAGGAGTTGACTTGCCAGTTCCCCACTGACTCAATGGCCCTCTCTGTTGCAACTCACCATCATATGCTGCAGGATCTCAGCCTGGATTTGGGGTAGGCAGTTTCCAGGGATGGCTGCAACACAAATATCCCCCAGTCCGCAGAGAAGTGGAATCTCACCCTGTGCTTGCCCCTGAATGGTGCCTTTTGCAGGGACAGTTCTCAAGGCCCTCTGTGCTTGTTTAGGCTGGTTGGGAGCGGGTTCAGAACAAGAGGTGAAAGGGCTATTAGCAGAAGTCACTGTCAGTTTGATCCAAAGACGCAATAATACCTAAAACAGGTTGGGTGAGGGATGTGGCAGAACGCTACCTGCACACCCTCTGTGGGGGGGGGAGGAAGAGCTTTCAAATGTTTAAAAGAGGGGGTCCGCCAGGAGCCTGGAGAGCCCCTTGCCGCCCACAGGGGACAGCACTCCACTGACCCCATCCACTACACGGAAAGGAGACTTATCTGTATAGGAACTCGTAGGAGCCGTCCCAGAGGTGAGTCGGTGTACAAGGCTCATTATCATTTTGTGATCCAGTGACTCTTTCGATCTCGGTGAAAGAGCAGGGAGGACTACCGTCCGAGACTGAAAATGCCTTTCTCCCCCCCCAGTGTTTGTGTTCAAGCCCAGCGAGCCGCAGCCGTTGTGCATCCGGAGGAAGATCTGCAGAGGCAGAGTCCGATGGGCTATCTTTGTTCCGAGAGATGTGCCTGAATGTAGTCGCTCCGAAAAATATCAGTGGCTTAACCAATCTCAGTTTTACTTCATGACTGAGACTCATGTAAGTTTGGTTCCCATCTCCAACAACTTGAACCTGGGGAAACATTACAAGTTGTGACTGGTAGCTCCTAAAAGTGATGTTCCATTTAGTTATTTTTTTTGTATAATTTCTCAGTGTGCCACCATTATCTTTTCTTCCCAACGGCCCAGTGAAGTAGGTTAGGGTAAGGGGCAAGTTGCTCTCTCTCTCTCTTCTCAGGACCAGATAAGGGTCAAGTAAGGCACCAAGTGAGGACTGGAAGGATTCAGAAATCAAATCTGATTTTCTCACTTCTAAACTGTGGCAGTGCCTTTTTGTTCAAGTTGAATTACATCTTTGGGGTACATCTGTTGTATTCTCACAACAGATTGTTTCACTTCAAACGTTTCTTGGGTTTTCTGTATTTTTATTACTGTAGTTCTTTTTAGGTGGTCAGTTTGCTGAATCTTAGCTGGTTGATGGTTAAAATTATTTTTATTATCACTTACGTTGTGCAGGAAGGGAGTGGTTAAACCACTTCTTGTCTTCTATATCCCTTGGAAATCCTGGAAAGGGTCACAAGAAGTCAGAATTGACTTGATAGCCTGTAGTTCATCATTCCGTTATAGTTTTGTTGTATGAGCTCTGAATACACAGACATTTATGTGGGAATGAAAACTAAATTTAAAAAGTTGGCAAACCAAACCCCTGTGTGTTATGTTCTTTATGGTTACAGCCCAGGATCTGAAGAGGAGATATTCTTGCTTGTGTGAGGCTCTCTACATGTGAGCAAGATCCATGGAAAATTTGGGTTTTGCTCATGTATAGAGACTTATCAGTATGAAAATTAGTCTCTTCTTTGGACGGCCGTGACTCTATAAAGAAGATGATGACTGAAGAGATGCAGGCATTTGTGTCTACACCTGTCCTCCTTGAATAAGTCCCCCAGCCCAGACTGCATATTCTTGGCCATGTCTGGAAGGCTGGTGCATTTGGGTGAAACTGGCCTCAATTATTCTCTCCTAGAAGCAGAAAAGGAGGAACCCCTCTGCTAAACCAGTTTTGTATGTATAGGATCTGTATAGTTACAACGGTTAAAAGCATTTTGAGTAATTTAAAGGCTACCCTTTCAATTGTGTTTTCCCACAGTGTCACTTAAAAGGAAAAGGGGGAAAAATATTCCAAGCAATAACATATCTTCCACTCTTTATTTTATTTCTGTTTCAGATTTTGAGTGTGTATGTAATATAAACATTCATGTATCTTATATGTGCCTGTACTTCAAAATAAGTACTTTGAATTGTGTGACATTTTTAAGACACACTAAAATCCTGAAAAAAATATCTTTCATTATAATGTTGTTTCTCCATGGTGGACGTTTAGGAATTGATGACATTTAGCACAAAAACACCAGAAGAGAGACTTACACCTTCCAGCAGACAGGTATTGCTTTTTAAAATTCATTGGGGGGGGAGTCTAGCAGGGTATTGAAAAGGTATTTTGTAAGATCTGAGTTACTCTGTATTAAAAGTGTTTGCTTGCCTTATATTAAAGATCAACTCCAGAGTAAATGTTTTGTTGGGGAGTAAAGTGTGGGCAGTGAACATCACTGGGGGTGTTTTTGGGGCCCAGATCAACCAATTGTCCTGAAGTTCCATTTTCAAAGATTCTGTTAAGTACCATATTTTTTCATATATAAGACTATACACCAATTATCCTGAGGTTCCATTTTCAAAGATTCTATCAAGTACCGTATTTTTTTCGTGTATAAGACTATACTTTTGTCTAAAATCTTTAAACTAAAAATTGAGGGTCGTCTTATACACGGACGTAAGCTGAGGAGAAACAACCAAGTGGAGGGGAAAGCAGGGATCAAAGTGCTGCAGGATGGCTTTGATCTGTGCTTTCCCCTCTGCTTGCTAAGTCCTATGGGGCTTAGCAAAAGGAGGGGGGAAGGATCAAAGCAATCCCATGGCTGTATAAGGGGAAAAGGGATAAAAATGATTGTGCAATCGTAGAATTGCTTTGATCCCTTTCCCCCTCCTTTTGCTAAGCTACGCGGGGCTTAGCACGAAGGGAGAAAGCAGGGATCAGAGCCATCCTGCAGCACTTTGATCCTTTTTACTCTACATTTGCTAAGCCCCACTTAGATTTCTCAATTTTGGGTTAGAAAAGTGGGGGGCATCTTATACATGGAAAAATATGGTAACCTGGTGTATCCCCAGGAACGTTGCTTCGTAACATACAGATCTAGATTTTTAATTTTTCAAAACTGAAGTCACAGGTGGCAGTGCATGTATTTAACCTCATTTAATTTTAAAAAGTCAAAAGCTGATAGAATTAAGTTCTGTATTGTATTTCGATTTTCAGCGTCTTTCTCTGAATTGTTTACATTTTATGGATAAGGATGTGTATGAACAGTGAAACTGTATTCACAGACGTTAAAACTTGTATACCTAAGGAAAGGTTAAATGTACAGATTTTTTCTATTTACAAATAAGCTAGTTGAAAAAGAGTAATGGAAATTACTTGGGGCTTTTGCCCAATGTGAAAGTCCACTTTAAATGTTCTAAATATACAAACACACAAACAGTCATCCTTACAGGTATGATTAAGTGCAACACAAAGCCGTTGTTCTTGATAGCTGCTATACCAAGCCTCTTGGAAGGGCCAGGAAGAGGATACTGCCCACAGACCTTAATCCTTACAGGACCTCTGGGCCTTGCTGTTCCAAGGGTGTGAGCCCAGATATGCACCAGCCTGTGCTACAAACTAAGGCATTGTTTCCTTGGGTTCCCAGATGCTCTTGAACTAAAGAGCATCTGGGACGCCTTCGCCACTAGCTGTGCTGGCCAGGATTTCTGGGAGTCGTAGTTCCCATTTGGGAACCCAAGGTTGCACCTAAGGGGGATGACTGAGTTGCCTGGTAGCCTCTGTAATGCCTCAAACTACAGAATTTGGATTCCAGCCTGCTCTCATGGACCTGCGGACTTTGGCGACCTGCTTTGCAGATAAACTGGCTGCAGAGGAATGGGGACTGAAACCCTGCTTCATGCTGCTGCCCAGCCCACCAGCGTGACAACCTTGCTTCATTCTCTGCTGCAGCCTTCTGCACTGCCCCCAAAATGGCCCTGACCGGTTTTCTACCTCTCCAAAGTATAAATCGGCACAAACTGTTGGTTCAGCGGTTCCCAGCCCCGCCTCCCCTGGGAGGCACCCACTCAGAGGCAGCACCCTGGATTCCCTGCCCCACCTCCTCCCTCCAGGCACTGCCTCTGAGTGGGCACCCGCCAGAGGAGGCGGGGCTGGGGAACATCTGTTTGTCCAAAGTACGAACTGCCGAACCAGTGGTTCGTGTCCATCTCTACTCCAAAGCAGATTCTGGGGCTCACACAGGATTCCAAGAAGGATGGCGTTCTCCTGATTCTCCTGACAGAGGGAGTTCCCTCTGTGATAACCATCTTCTTGTTTCTCCTGATTCTGCTGACGGAGTTCCCTCTGTGATAACCATCTTCTTGATGACTAGCCATCGCAGTGATGGATGGGATTCTCATTTTTAGGTGTTAGAACTTTGCCACCGGTAGTTTGTAATAATCCGATTGAATTAATAGGCTTCCTTTGTAAACCAAAGAATACTTATTGAGTCATGGTTGTATGAAATGATTGGTATCAGATTCTGGTAATCTAAACAATGGTCTGCAGTATTTTACATCTATCTGTTGCAGAGCGTATACCTCAACATTTTGAGATTATTTTTATTCGTCTGGCGCCGACGTTGATGACATTTTGGCGCCAGGTCAAAACCTTCCTGTTCCAGAAGGCTTTTAATTGAAATAACATAAACTGTGGGTCCTGATGGCAATTTTAATTGTATTTTAATCATTTTATCTTTTATTGTATTTTAATTGAATTTTAATTGTTGTAAGCCTCCCAGAGACCTTTGGGTAGAGTGGGCGGCATATAAGTTAAACAAACAAACAAACAAAATTACTTGAAGAATGTGTTGTGGGTTTTTTTGGTGCTTTTTCTCTTCTTTTGCGTTAATATGTTTTTCTGTCACCACTTTTCAAACAAACAAACTTACTTGAAGAATGTGTTGTGGGGTTTTTTTTGGTGCTTTTTCTGTTCTTTCGCGTTAATATGTTTTTCTGTCACCACTTTTTAGTTGGCGGTTGAGGAGAGCTTCACCATGACGCCTTTTTACCTCCTACTGGGAAAGCACCGGCAACAGACAGAGGAGGCTGCAGGGATTAGGAAAACACCCATGCAGAGCAATTTGCCCCAGGAGTCACCTGCAATTAAAGAAGTAAGGAAAACAGCAACATGAATTTGATTGGGAAAAAAATTGCAAATACTGGATCAGCTGCTTAACCAAGTTTCTGTTTCCTCCTGTTTCCTTTTTTACTCCCGCCCTGCAGCTGCTTCACACTCCCGCACATGTATTACCATCTGCCGCTTTCCTGTGTCCTATTTTTATTAACTCATTGCTGGTATCCAAAACAAAAGAAAGGTAAGAAACATACTGTAAAGTTTTTGTGTTTGAAACGTGCCATCAGGTGACTTCCAATGGATGGTGACTAGAGATGGGCACGAAGCACTTCGTCGCACTTCATATGAAGCTGTCAGCATGGCACCGCAGGTACCGCACTGGGCCGTCTCCCTCCCACCCCCAGCCAGCCAGGTCATTCACCCTGCTTCACATGCCGCTGGGGCTCTTCTTCTCTGACGGTGCTCTAATCCAGACAGGAGCTCTCCTGGCACAGCCCCATCTCCTCAACTAGCTGACCACTCCTTGGCTTTGTGGGGAGAATCCCCATCCTGCCTCCTTGTTGGGGTGGTCGGCTGTCTGAGGAGGCAGAGTTGGGCCAGCTGAGCTCCTGCCCGGATTGGAGTGCTGCTGGAGAAGAAGGACCCCAGCAGCACACGAAGCAGGGTGAATGGCTTGGTTAAAAGCATTTTGTGCCCATCTCTGATGATGTTCCTAATAGGATTTGGGGATATCTGAGATGTTCAAGGGTTGATTTACCAGTGCCACCCTCAGTTTCCGTGGCTGAGCAGGGATTTGAACCCACGTCTCCTGAGTTCCACACTCTCTTATACACAACACTGGTGCCATGCTTTTGTGAACTGCTGAGAAGCAGTTCTCGTTTATTTGTGAATATGGGAGTCTGCTGGCATGTTCACACAGAAGTGGGGATGAGTGGGCAAGAGCGTTCCTAGCAGACACGGACCACAATTTCATGGTTGACAAGGCACGGTGTTTAGTGGACCAGGAGTGGATACATCTAGTGGCTCTGGGACCCAATTTCCACCCACCCTCAGGACCTGTAGCTGGCTACACACCTAAGCAGCGTGTATTTTTTTTCTGTCTTTCTTATTGACCTAACTTAAGAAGTGCCTAGCAGTTCACTTCGATTTAGTCTCCTAAAGAGAAACACACAGTTTCAGTGAAGCACATTTGCATACCAGAAGAGAGACACACACCGCCGGGATGCTTGCAGGAATAGACATTCCTTTATTTTAATCCCCAAGGCCAGAGTCAAGTCCCTAGTTTATGCTACCGTTTTAGTTTCTGGTGAAATACAGGGAACTTACTGAAAGATTGTAGGAAAACTGCAGTGGTTCCCCCCCCCCAAGATGTACACTAAATCTCACTCACTCACTCACTCACTCACTCACTCACTCACTCACTCACTCTCTCTCTCACTCAGTCACTCACTCATTCACTCACTCATTCACTAAACATAAGAAAACAAGACTGGCATGTCAAGCAAAAAGGCATAAGGTTTGCGTTGTCGTGCTTGTTTTTTTATGGCTAGGGACTTCCTTTTTTGAGAGTACATTGAAAAGTTTTAATTCCTTCATCTGATCTACAAATCTGGTCTTTTACTGACCTCTTTTCCCACTGTTCAGATCACCCTTCCACCCCCCAGGTGGAAAATATTCAAGCTTGGAAGTAATCCATGCTCTTTTCCTGCCAAAGCATACTAGATATATTCAGGGAAATCTTAAGAATCAGCCATCCTTATTTGCGGTGCAGTCCAGCAACAGAATGCATCAGACTCCTGATGGGTGTAAACTAGTGCCACTAAGATTAATTTCCATCCACCCAATGAATCTTTTTCCTTCTCCCTCATACCATTCTGCACCTTCAGGAAATGTGATCTGGAATTCCCCCAGCAACCCCCATTTCCAGTTTTGGAGAGGTGGAGGGGAATGCTTCACTGGGCTTCACATTGTATCCTTCACCTCTTAGAATTGTAATGAGCAAAGTCCTTGCTGGCCGGGTTCTGTCTTGTCATCCCTCTCAGAAGCAGGCTGCTCTTGATTAAAGACTTCAGTTTTTCCATTTGGGTGTGCATGTGACTTCATCTCATTGCGTGCAAGCCATGCACATTCTGAAATCAAGAAGTCTTTAATTAATAGCATTCCTGCCAACAACAGTGATATTTTTGTGCAGGTGGAGCTGCTCAACAGAATTTTGGCTCAGTGTGTCTATGGTGGTGACTCATATTAGTCTCAGCTGCATATTTCTGTTGACACTTTTTTAACAGTACTGATAACATCGTCAGTGAAGCAGAAATGGAAAGTGAAAATGAAAAGAATGGCTCTGAGGACGAAGCAGAAATTGCAGAACTTCGCACAGAGGTTTCACAAACAACAGAGTGTTTGGAGAACAGTCTACCTCAGTTATCCAAGGCTCAGGAAAGAGACCTGCGTAAATTAAGAAAACTGGACTACAGCTGGGTATCAGCACTCTAGACACGCAACATTGTGGACTGAATTTTTTTACCAATAATTTAATAAGACGTTCAATTTTGTTCAAATAAACAGTGGAGTTTTTTGGGTCCATCTGTTGATCGCACAAAATCTGGTTGATCTGTTGACAGAAAAGTAATGTAGGTCTGCAGTAAATTATGTGCAATAAAAATCTTTATATATTAACATAAAAAGAGGTTTAGGCATGACAGACTTTGTATTTAAGATGTCATTTAAAACAACTGCACGTCTACATTTTGCTTTTGGCTCACACCCAACTGGTGGACAGAATGTATTTCAAAATAAGGGTGTGTTACTTTACAAAGGGGGGAAGTGTTTGCCAACAAGTGTTCTCCGCGTTCACATTTTAAAATGTTCACCGTGAAGATACATGCTGTTGAGATGGGCTACAACAAGCTTACTGTGTTAAATGAAAAACTCATTAATCTGTGTTCCGAAAATGTCCAAGGAAGCTTGAGGCAGAATTTTGTAATGTGAGATACAAAACAAATCCATTCTTGTTAAACTCAAAGTGGGTAGGGGGAGGTTAGGCAGGTAACTAGGGAGGAGGTCATTTATTAACTCTGGCTACAGCAGCCTGTTCTAAAACATTAAACAGAAAATAAGGTTCAGACATGTCACTGGCAATATAAGTTGTGTCATACTGGATCAGTGCAGAGACCTATCTAGTCCAGCCTTATATTCACTATTGGCCAACCAGTTGCCTGTGGGGATCTTACAAGCAGGACATAAAAGTAACATGTTTCATGTTCACCAGCAGCTGAGACAGAAGTACACCATCTTTGATGTTGGGGGGGCAATATGCACTGGTTGCTGTCGATGACCCTGTAAAGGATTTTGTTTCAATCCTGACTTTGAAAGCAGACGGGGGTTATTACTTCATTTATTGCCATCACCTTCTTTCCTTCCAGTTTTTTTTTTAAGGTAAGAACAGAACAGAACAAACTTTATTGCTTAAAACCATAGGTCGTCACAATCTTGTCAACAGCAACACAAAACATATATAGCACTGGCATGTCATATTTATAAACAAATATATGAGGACATAGCTTCCCCCCCCCTTTCTTAAGACTTTTCATGCTTAACACTTGTTCCTTTGCTGCCTAAGCAGATTTTGCTATGTGATAAGTCGTAGTTACAGCCCTACCTACAAGCAGTATACAAAGAAGTCATCCTTCATTAACTTTATTCTCATCACTTGTTTAGCAAGCTAGTTACTTCTTATATGTCATAGTCCTTTTTCTGACCTGCAAGAGCTGAGCCTGTTTTTGAGGTGTTGAGTAGCCTTCAAACTTCTTAAAGGTATTTGACACTCATGATATTTCCTCCTTTTTCATCAGGACCCTCTTTGTAGACAATTAATCTCATTTGAAGTAAATAGGACCCTGACTTCCGTGACATTTTCCATGTACATAGACATTAATTTTAACCAGTGTTTCCAAACTCCTAGCAGCCTTGCAGTGTCAATTCTTCAAAGGTCCCTCACTTCTAGTCAGTACCATGGCCACTTGCATTCACATAGCAGAGGACATCTTGAACATAACATCCTTCCTGCTTTCCTAGTCAGGCAGGGTTAGAAAGCTAAATAAGATTGGGCCAGGACTACAGATGGGAAGGCTTGAGAAAAAATGGGAAAAATTGGGGGTGGGAGGAGAATTTTTCCTGGTTTCTTCCAAAGACTTTTTTTTATTTTTTTCTGGAAAAATTGGGAAAAAATGAAGTGTGGAATGTTATTTCACAATGATAAATAATATGTCTGTGACATGGTATTCAAATGTTATAACATGAAGAGCTTAATGAAAGATTTCTGTAGAGATGTAAAATTTCTGAAAAATTCCATTTTTTTTCTGGGGGAATGGGAAAAAAATCAGAAAAACATGAATTTTTCAGCAGTTTTACATCTCTAGGGCAGGGGTTCCTAACCCCCGGTCCGTGGCCCAGTGCCAGTCCTTGGGCTTCCTGGAACTGGGCCATGGATGCAGATCTCCGCCCCCCCACGCAACAGGAAAACTGCAGTGCTTCCCCCGAGGGTGTATACTAAATGCTTTCTCTCTCTCTCTCTCTCTCTCTCTCACACACACACACACACATTTCACCCATGCAAAATTCCACACCTGTCTCCTGTCATTGTTTCTCCTACCACACCAGAAGGTTCCTGTGCATCAGAAATGCTTAGAACACACTATCGTAGATTCAGAGAAGGACACTGCCATGGTAGCCTAACAAGAATATAGTACAATACTATGCAAATCATTCTTCTCAGCACCAGAGTTGTAAATCAGTATTGATGCTGGCCTGAGGGATTATGGGTTGTACATTACAGACCCACCTAGAACAGGTAAGTGGAGACACGAAGTGCTTATGTGTGAGGAAGACAGAGAGAAACTCAGACCTGCAAAAAGGGTCTTGTAAAAAGCTGAGGTGGAAAAGAAGGAAACAACAATATTAAGTGAAAAGAAGATGATATGGTGATATTCAGAAATCGAAAGCGATTAACCTCCCCCTGCCATTGGAAAATTACTTGTTTCATTAATTGATTTTGTTATGAGAAAGAGGAAAGTGGGTGAGAATTGACTTTTCAAATTCATGTGGCAGTTTCCTTCTCTTGAAATCTTACAGAAGGAACAAGTGGAAGAAAAGGAGTAAATTTGCAGACTTTTCCCTCCCTCTCATTCTGGACTGGGAAAGTTTTTACTGTAGTAACATAAATTTAAACACCAATTAAAATTTAATGTAGATGTTTACATGGGCCATTCTGAGATATCAACATAATTTAGTTAGACTGTTTAGCTTCTTATTTAACGTCTCTGCAGGAACACTGGGAATCTGGAGTACAGTACCTCGGTGTCAGGCAATACTTCAAATTATTTTATTTTACTACATCTGATTTTATTTTACTTCTACTGCATCTTCTATTTTCTCACTCAGGATGTTTGGGAGAAACACCTGAACCTGCACAAATCAACCATTTTTTAGGGAAGGGTGTGGTTTTGTTTTGTTTTGTTTGTGTAACTCATATCTTGTAGGAATTATAACGTGTCCGAGGATACCCCACAGCTCCTAACACCGGTAGTTTTGCAGAGGGTGGGGATGCCATTGTATGAGGGCTCAGCCCCCTTGTTTGTCGTACAAAGGAACCAGAGCTTCGATTTTTAATTTGTTTGTAATTACATATCCAACACACCCATCCAAAGGAACCAGAGCTTAGATTTTTAATTTGTTTGTTTGTAATTACATATCCAACACACCCTCAACTGACTATGTTGGCTGGGAGATTCTGGGAATTTTTGCTTTGAAAACAACCACCAACCAAACTACATTTTTTTCACCGTTGTTGAAAAGAAATCAATGCACATGTCCTAAATCTCTTCCCCACCACCACCACCATCTCACCACGACCTTCAGAAACATCTGATTAACCAGTTAGTTTCCTGTCACATGGAGGAAGGAAGCCAACTGCCCTTTTGCCCTGCAAATGAATAAAGCAAGTAGAACCTACCAAGCGATATCAACAGTTTTTCAATGCTCAATCTAATTGTGCATGAATGTAACTGGAAACAATTACAACCACAAGGCAACACTATGATGCTAAACAGATGTGCCAATGGGTAACAGGTTATACAACTGAAATAGCACAGGGTGGTGCCCTGTTTTGAGATAATTATGGAATGGCTGTCACGATCCACTTGTTTTTCTTCTGCACGCCTCCTTTCAAGCATTTGTCACGGTGGTGGTGGGAGAAGACAAAATCATCACACAGCATTATGAAAACTAAGTTGTATACGTTGTATCCTTACCTGGCAGTGAGGTCCCTGAACTGCATGCCTGAGGAGACACAGGCAGGATTACATTGTTAGAAATCTAACCAATTTTGGCTTGGTTATAGGAGCAGGATTGGCCCATGTTATTAGTGAAAGATTACACGTGGTGTTTAGCTCACCAAAACGGTCAGACACACACAGACTGTATTACCCCAGTCTTCGATTGGTTGACCAAATAACTCACACTGAATCACCTCATCGCTGAATATTTCTTTATCATCAGCCTTACAGGATATGCAAAAGAAGGGACAAGTGAAATCCACATCAAGTGTTCCATAAACTTAAGAAATATTATAGAAATTAGTAAATACATGTATGTTTCAAAGTCCTCTGTGGAGGACAGGCTGTGAAAAGGAGGACTCAAAGGTTTTCAGGAGTATTCGGCTGCTGTTTAGCCCAGGTAAAAGATGTGTCAGTTGAAGCACCAACCAGAATGGCTAGTGGTCAGATACTGGGATTGGACGACCTTCAACATCTGCTGACCACTGGTTATTTCGGGTCTGACGTGTGTTCTTCTGGATTTCAAGCCAAGAGTCTTTGACATGTGTCAGTTAAAAGGCTGTCCTTTTTAATTATGATCCTCTGGTTCTTTCTTCTAAAGGTCAGACAAAATTATAACCCTCGTTCTTTGTATTTGTCTTATGGGTGTGAATGCAGGATTTTGCTGACAGCAAAAAATGGCTATGAGCGTTATTTCTCCATCTGTCACATGATCGCAGAGAGATTTCAAGATGTAATAGTCCATTTGCATGGTGTCAGGGGATTCTCTGCAGCCTTTTTCTCATAGCTACTGTACTGAGATTTTCTTTAAAGTGGTATAAGAAAGCAGCACCATATTAAAGAAGATGGATGCAACTAAAGGAGAAAGCTGATGACATTTAATGATCAATCAAGAGGAAAACGCACACAAAACAAATCTTCCTCTCTTACCGGAGACTGGGCATCAAAAGGGCTATTTTATCTGCAAATACCCACCTAAAGTGGTCTTTTAGGCCAGATGGGTGGGGTATAAATCAAATAAATAAATAAACGCGGTAGGCCAAAACAACTATGTTATGCTGTACCTCAGGTTCTTCAGTCCATAAGCTCTTCCCTTGCATACATCTGTTTTCCTATTTATTTTACCTTCAGTAATCACATGTTAAAATCTGAACCTGCCAGTTCTCATTATGTGGCTGAAGTAAATCAACTTGTGCATTTATTAATCCCCTTTAGAAAGTCTTCCCTTGGTGCCCTCTCAATCCAATAAATTCTTCAATAAATATATATTCCAAATGCTTCTTTGGTACAGTAGCCTATGTTAAGGTCCACAATTCAACACCACACATTAGAAATAAGAAAACATAGTGTCA